CCTCAGTACTAGAGCGAGATGGAATAGCTTGTTTCTTACTACGCCATGAAATAAGAGAGTTACCAAGAAAGAGACAATAGCCAGTAGTGGATCTTCGATCTGTAAGATCACCAGCCCAATCAGCATCTAAATATGCATGAAGGACAAGGGAGGAATGAGCTGAGAAGTGAAGTCCATGAAATAGTGTTCCCTTAACATAGTGAATAATACGAAGTATAGCAGCATAATGAGTGAAGCGAGGGGCAGCCATAAATTGACTAACAACATGAACTGCATATGCTATGTCTAGGCGTGTCGTAGTAAGATAAACCAAACTACCAACCAACTGCCGATAACGAGTAGGGTTAGGGAGTGGAGAACCATCTAATGGTGTGAGCTTGACATTTGGTTCAAGAGGTGTGGAGACATTCTTACTATCAGTGAGACCGGCTTTAGATATGAGATCTGATGCATACTTCATTTAAGAGAAAAGATAACCATCATCTGAGGATGTAACTTCAAGTCCCAAAAAATAACTCAAAGAGCCAAGGTCTTTCATCTCAAATCTGTGGCTGAGAAACTGCTTAAGCTCATCAATCCCTGAAACATCATCTCCAGTGATATCATATCATCAACATATATGAGTAAGAGAACCATTCCTTGAGCAGATTTACGGACAAATAAAGCAGTATCATGTGGACTAGAGGTGAAACCAAACTCACTTACAATAGAACTAAATTTTGCAAACCAAGCTCGAGGAGACTACTTTAAACCATACAAGGCTCATCGCAATCGACATACCTTATTCAAAGGAGGAGTAAGTCCAGGAGGCGGTTTCATATAAACCTCCTCTTCCAAATCACCATTAAGAAAGGCATTCTTCACATCCATTTGAAACAGCTTCATTTACGTATAGCAGCAATAGCTAATAAACTACGTACTATGGTAAGACGAGCAACAGGAGCAAAGGTCTCCTCATAGTCAATTCCATATTCCTGCGTAAAACCCTTTGCCACCAAACGTGCCTTATAGCGCTCCACAGATCCATCAGAACAAGTTTTGATCCTGTATACCCACTTGCATCCAACAAGAGTCTTATCAGTAAGAAGATCAACCAAGTCCCAAGTACCTGTCTTTTCCAAAGCCTGTAATTCCTCTTTCATAGTTTGCTGCCATAGAGGATCTAAAGAAGCTTCCTTGTAGGACTAAGGTTCATGTAAAGAGGTGAGTGCGGAAAAACAATGATAATCTTGAAGATATGTAGATGGATTTCTTACCCATGTAGGATGACTAGAAGAGGAAGTAATTGGTGGATTTTGAATCTCATTTGTTCCAAGTGCAATATCCGCAGAAGAGACATCTTCTGAGACAGGAGCCATGGAAGTTTGATCATTTGAAAGCTCATTAGGAGACCTTGCATCATCATTATCATCATTAGGAAATAACTCAAGGGATGGATTAGTGAAGATAGGAGGTTGATGAGAAAGAGACACCTTGAATTCAGAAAGAGAAGCAAACATAGTGTGTTCCCAAAAACAACATGACGAGAGACACGAAGTTTTGGTGATACTAGATCCTAACAACGATAACCTTTATGTTGTATCCCATACCCTAGAAAACAACAAAGTCGAGCTTGAGGCTCTAACTTGTGATGTTCATAAGGTAAAAGAACAAAACAAGCACAACCAAAAATTTTAAGAAGATCATAGGCAAGAAGAATACCATAGAGACACTCATAGGGAGATTTATTTTGTGTGACGATAGAGGGGACTCGATTTATGACATAGACAGCTATAAGTGCAGCTTCACCCCAAAAACACTCAGGACATGAAGAGGAAATCAAGAGAGCACGAACTACGTCCAAAATATGATGATGTTTTTGCTCAACCCGCCCATTTTGCTGAGAGGTATATAGACAAGATCTTTGTTGTATTGTGCCCTGCTCTTTAAGAAAAGACTAAAATTTAGAATCGAGATATTCAAGAGCATTATCAGTTCTCAAGACCTTGATAGTTTTAAAGAATTGAGTCTTGATCATATTAGCAAACTCAATATAAATTTGAGGTAATAGCCAAGTGAAGCGAGAATAATCATCAATAAATAACACAAAATATTTTGAACCACCCATGGTAGGAGTGGGAGATGGCCCCTGTTATATCCTAAAACAAGTCCTATGATAATTAGGACACGTGGAGGCATTCTAGAGATAGTCCTATCAAAAGTAGAATAGGATAAATCCCACTAGAATAAGAATATCCCGAACACCAATCAAATAAAACTGTATTCCTAGAATAACTATATTTAAACATCCTATAAATATCCCTAGGATCAACCGGTAGATTATTTTCCACCATCATTCTCCCTCTATTGTAAACACTCTCTATTAATAAAGATCTTGGTCTCACACCATCTACTCTATTTTTACGGTTAACATTTGGCGCCCACCGTGGGGCTCAGCACTTTTCAATCCACGAATACCACATGAAAAATTCAGAAAATTCATCACGACCTTGTAGAAGTATTCCGAGCTCCAGAAGCGAGGATAGAATGGGTGACTCTTCGTCATCAAGAGCAAACCCAAGAAATACTGTTAATAAAACAAAACCATCAGATTCAATCATGGCATCACAAATACAGAAACTTACACAAGACATGGAGGAGACGAGGCAAAGTTTAAAAGCAATTGAGCGACCCATAGCATCCATGACAAAAACTACTAACATGTCATCGCAAGAAGTAAGGCATGAGTGCTTGTCACAAAGTGATGCCAAAACATTAGAGGGGAAAGAGCAAGATTCAACATAGGAAAACAGCAATCAAGATAAAAGTTACGTACCTTCAAAACCAACAGAATTGACAACCAAAACGAGTCTGCAACCACCCTTAACTTTCACTCAATACAATTTTCGAAGTCAATGTGATACATCGCACACATTCAAGCTAAAGAAGGGACAGCCAGCAAGTCCATAAGGCTACATTTGCTGCGACAGAACCACAAAAGGCAGAAACACAGGTTCATAATGACGGTATTTACAAAGAAATTGAAGCATTGCGACAACATCTAGCAAAAATAGAAGTAGGCAGGCAGAGCTAGCTAAATACGATGGAACTCAAGACCCAGTGGAGCACGTGCAAGGATATAGAATGGCAATGACAGTATATGGAGCCTCGAATGCTCTATTATGCAAAACAAATTACAGCAACTTTCAGGAAAGCTGTGCAAACTTGAGCTCCTCGAAAGACCAACCATCATCTCTTAACAATCAAACAAAAGACAAGAGAGTCACTAAGAGCCTACATAGCAAGATTCCATAATGAAGCAGTGCAAGAACAAATTAACAAGTTACCAGATAAATTTCATATCTTTTTACAATATTTAAATAATTATTTTCATAAATTTATCAATTATGATCGTGAAAGCAGTAACAAATTTTCTCATGTCTCTAAAGAAATTAAGATAATAAAATCTATATAGCTTGTTTCTGCTCTGAACTTACGCAGGAGAAAATCTTAAGATGATATCATGCGCAGGCGATCTACTACAAAGGAGTACATGTTTGCAAGACTTTCAGACTTATAGTCATATTGCACCTAATAAAGAAACATGCGCTTGCAAGAGATGTATAAGCAAACATCTACCACATGCAAGAATGCACTGGATACCAAAATCTAGTAACTCAATTATGATGTGACTCAAATACCTATGCAGCATTATCATGATTGGATAAATAAAAAAGCAAGCACTCTGTTAAAAGACAGAGAATACAACTACCTCCATGTTTGAAGAAGCTTTGTTACAATCACATTCAACCACATCAAATGATGAATCAAATTTTGCATTCGCAAGGCAAGATAGACATCTCAAAATTCTACATGCACAAATCTTAAAAGAAAGCTGCAATCCCAGCTAAGTTTATTTACTTTTTAATTTTTTTTATTTTCAACCTTAATAATCATGCAAGTTATTGTGTTTCTAAGAAAACTAACCTTTCTCTTGAGAAACTTTTGGGAGAAGGCCACATAGGCCAAAAAGCTACAAGCAGAGGAATTCAATTACAAGATGCACAGGTCTAACAAGAGTTATGAGACAGAAAGTCACAAAGAAAAATCCAATGCAAGAGCAAAAAGCTGCGAGCAAGTTTGGATGTACATAAATATCCAAGCAAAAGTTACGCAAGCGAAGAAGCTGTGAGCAAGTTTGGATATACATAAATATCCAAGCAGAAGTTACACAGACAAGCAAAAAGCTGCGAGCAAGTTTGGATGTACATAAATATCCAAGCAAAAGTTACGCAAGCGAAAAAGCTGTGAGCAAGTTTGGGTGTACATAAATACCCAAGCAGAAGTTACACAGACAAGCAAAAAGTTGCGAGCAAGTTTGGATGTACATAAATATCCAAGCAAAAGTTACGCAAGCGAAGAAGCTGTGAGCAAGTTTGGGTGTACATAAATACCCAAGCAGAAGTTACACAGACAAGCAAAAAGCTGCGAGCAAGTTTGGATGTACATAAATATCCAAGCAAAAGTTACGCAAGCGAAGAAGTTGTGAGCAAGTTTGAGTGTACATAAATACCCAAGCAGAAGTTACATAGACAAGCAAAATGCTGCGAGCAAGTTTGGATGTACATAAATATCCAAGCAAAAGTTACGCAAGCGAAGAAGCTGTGAGCAAGTTTGGATGTACATAAATACCCAAGTAGAAGTTACACAGACAAGCAAAAAGTTGCGAGTAAGTTTGGGTGTACATAAAATACCCAAGCAAAAGATACACAGGCAAACGAAAGCTACAAGTAAGTTTGGGTGTACATAAACACCCAAGCAAAAGACGGCGAGCAAGCTTTGAGTTACATAAATACCCAGACAAAAGCTATGCAAGATGCGTTACAAAGGTTAATGCAAATTTCAGACCAAAACTCAAGTTAGAAACAAAGCTTTTAAAGCAAAATCTTTGAAGCTAGCTCATTCAATTGCTGATAAGCAAAATTGGACAATTCAAGACAAAAGCAGCAAAGAGATAAGTTCTTTCTTCTTTTTTAATAAATCATAGCATTCTTAAACTGACAACACAAGTTTATCATACCTTTGCTCTTCCCTCGTATTTAAATAAGATCAACCTTAGCATGCAAGCAGCGGGAATCCAAAGTACCAATGAATTGCGAAAAATAGATGGATAATGAGAACCAGCATCATAAACCTGAGCAAATTTAAAGAACGGAATAAAAGCAGTACAACCCAAATATTTTTTCAAAAATAAATGTTCTTATATGCAGGTTCAACAAGAGGTCTGAAAAACTGAGCATTTAGAGAATAAGGGGTACCTTGAGAACCTCCGCATTCACAAAACTACTCCAACTGTGAATAGCTATAACAGAATCCTCTGCATCCTCAAAGCTGCCCAATCCTTACTCTACTTCAACCAGAGATCTGCCCAAAGGAACATGCATTGAACCTTAATCATAAACTTTCTTGAACTTTGGATCAGCTTAAACCTACACAGCAACATCCATGCTCTCAAACTCAGAGATGCCATCAAGCACAATCAACTTAGCAAGGGACTACATCTCTGTCACATTGTTGGCAACAAGCTTTCTCTGCTCCCTCCGAACAACTTCGGCTATGAACCCTTGAGCTGGGCCTTGTGAGGATTTTGATCCAATATACTCTTCTTTAATGACCTTCAACTCCTTCTCATGATCTCGATCTGCGAATTTCTCCAACCACGCACACTCACGCTCCTTGGCTTCCTCCTCATGCTGGCAATTGTAGCATCCCAAGCAGCATTCCCTGTCTCACCTCCTTTCACGATCTCGGCGGTTGGAATTGGGGGAGCGTTTGGAGGAGCCGAAGATAGAAGGATTGAGGCGATGAAGATGGTGTTGTTCTTGGATGCAGCGCTCCTAAAGGCGTTGGAGGACCAATTGCTCTCTCTTTAGTTAAGAAGACAGGCTTGGGAGAAAAAATCGTAGGAACCTCCATTAGAAAAGGAAGGGTCATGGGATTCCCTTCTACATGACGTAAAGCGCCCTTCACAACAAAACTTCCCATCCGCATTGTGGGGAAGGCAGAAAATATCAAAGAACTCCGGCTCAGAAGAAGAGGGAAGGACACCCACGTCATCAACGGGAGAACCACCAGAGGCAGAGACCGGAACAGAGCCGGAAGCAGAGGATGAAACAGAGCCGGAAGCAGAGGACGGAACAAAGTCGGAAGCAGAGATCGGAGCAAAGCCGAAAGTAAAGATCGGAACAAAACCAGAAGCCGTGATCGAAACAGAACCGGAAGCAGTGACCGAAACAGAGCCGGAAGCAGAAGTCGGAATAGAACCAGAAGTAGAGGGATTGCCGGCCATCACAAGATTACCGGCCTGATCAAGCCACAAAATCTGAGAAACCTTTCTCAAAAAGAAGAAAACAAAGAAGAAAAGGAAGAATCGGGAAAAGTAAGAAAAGACAAAAAGAAATCAAGAGGAAGTCAAACAAGAAAGAAAAGGAAGAATCGGGAAACTCAAAGAAAGCCCCAGCAAGCCAAAAGGATAAATTGCATAAAATCCCAAGAAAATAGGGGTTTGAACCAAAAAGGCCGGCCGTACTAAAAAGCCACACAACGGGGGCCACGTACACAAAGTTGCTGCCAAAAAAGCAGAAAAATCCGGGAAAGGCAGCAGTAAAAAATGGAAAAATCAAGAAAGGGCCTGAACAAATTAGCACCAATCAACAGAGTAATTAATAGAAATTTTCAAAAGAAACTGCGCTAGGAATCATAAAGAAAAAACCTATACTGTACTCTTTTTTCCTTAAACTAGATTTTTATCCCACAGGGTTTTTTCTAGTTAAGGTTTTTAATGAGGCAGTCATGGTTAAAAAGCAGGAACCTGCGCAGAATTCAAAACCAAGATTAACAAAGCAAAAAGATAGACACCCGTTGAAAGTTTTCACTACCCTCAAACTTCTTCATTGGGGGGCTAATGTTATATCCTAAAACAAGTCCTATGATAATTAGGACACGTGGAGGCATTCTAGAGATAGTCCTATCAAAAGTAGAATAGGATAAATCCCACTAGAATAAGAATATCCCGAACACCAATCAAATAAAACTGTATTCCTAGAATAACTATATTTAAACATCCTATAAATATCCCTAGGATCAACCGGTAGATTATTTTCCACCATCATTCTCCCTCTATTGTAAACACTCTCTATTAATAAAGATCTTGGTCTCACACCATCTACTCTATTTTTACGGTTAACAGCCCCCATATGTCAGAATGTACTAAATCAAAAGGTGCAAGTGAAACGGAATCACTTTTATTAAAAGATAAAGCAGGCTGTTTAGCAACTTGACACGAGACACAATGTAAAGACTCTTCTTTAATAGAACCTAAAGATCCATTCTGAATTAAAGGACGAAGTTTACTAATAGAGGCATAACCAAGACGAAGAAGCCACAAGTGCAAAGAGGAAGATGTTGAGACTGCACACAACTAGGAAATGTAACTAGAAGGGATGTGCAAGGAAGTGAGCTCAAACAAACGTCCAACTTTACAACCTGTCCCAAGAATCTGTCCCGTTTGTGGATCCTGCACAAGACAACCATGAGTAGAGAATATTAGTTCAAGACCAAGTTCACACAGTTGTCCCACAGAAATAAGATTGAAAGTAAGTTTTGGTATCAGGAAAGTGTTTGGTAAGGTAAGGGTAGAAGTGCAAACTTGACCATATTGGCTAACTTGCATTTGTGAACCATCAGCAGTATGAATAGGAGGTGCGATGGTATTAGGAGTTAAAGTAGAAAAAAGTGTAGAGTTTGAAGTCATATGATTGCAACAACCCGAGTCAAAAATCCAAGAAACTTTACCTGGGATGGTAGGCAAGGCAGTAGATGTAGAGGAAGATGATATCATTTGTCTAATAAGGGTTTCTAGATTACCAATCGAAAGATGGACTGAGGTATCCTCATTGGCAGCAGCTGCAACAACCATAGGCTTGGAAGACTGATCAGGCTTTGATTGGGTCTTCCACTGATCAGATCTCTGAGATAGTGAAGTAGTACAATTAGGCGCAATATGGCCTTTCTACTTGCATTTATGACATTCTACCAAACTGCAGTCATATATAGCATGTTCGTACTTGTTATAGTGCCGACAATACTTCTGTCCTCTCTTACTCGAAGGAAACTTGTTGATAGTTGCAGCCACAATAGTATCTCGTTGAGGCTTAAGTAAGCCCAGACGAGTTTCATCAGATAATAATCGTGAGAAAGCACTATCCAAGGTAGGTAAAGGAGACTGATGCAATAAAGAGGCTCTGCATGGTTCAAAATCATCAATAAGTGCCATAAGAAATTGAATTAACCTCATTTTATCACGATACTCAATGTACTTCCCAATATCAACAGCGTCATTGAAGGTTGGTTCTGAGAAGCAAGCTGATCCCAAATAGCCTCCATCTTAGCATAAAACTAGTAATGGACTCTCCACGTTCTTGTTTCAAATTGTGTAACTTTTCCCACAATTGATATTGACTGGATAAATTAGAAGTGGTATACCTGGCTGCAAGCAAATCCCACACTTCCTTAGTTGTTTCATACCGTCCAAACTAAAGGTGAATGGAAGGAATTGAGGTGTTACGAAACCAAGTGATGATCTGATGATTTTTTCTATCCCAGTCCTCTAGATGACCAACATACTTCTTATTTGTCTCATCAGTAACTCTCTGTGGAAGTGTAATGTCACCAGTAATATACTGCCATAATTTTCGACCCTTCAAGAAACTACGCATACTTTGAGCCCAGAGTATGTAATTCGAGCCATTTAAAATGGTTGAAATTGGCTGGGAAATATCAAATTTCTCCATAATAATAAACAAAGGAATATGCTGTAGATAAAAGAAAATCTGACCGAGTAAAACACCGAGTCGAAGTGGAACTCCAGAAAAATGGAAGCAATTTCGGATGGCAAAGGTCTGCACAGCAGTAATTTCAGCTGATATATGGCTGATCTGTAACTTTGAAACCGATATATGGCTGGAACATGCGATGCTAGCCAGCACAAAAACTATGAAGAAGAATTAGAGGCACAAAACCTCAAGAAGAACGACAGACAATAAAGAGCTTAGAAAGCTCTGATACCATGTGAGGAAATAAGCAGGAGAGAAAAATATGAAGAAGATACTTTTCTTGATTCATTTGAATATACAAAGTGTATAGGCATGTACAAAAGAATATTCTGTGGTACAAAATCAATTAATCTAATTATGTCAATCAATTATAATCTAAATATAATCATAGCAATGTAGACATAATCAAGGGAGAATATTCTGTAACAAGTAATGTATTTATTTAGAAACTTTAGTTGATTTGATCTTCAATTCGCTAGCAGCATGAAGACTTGATAATGTAACATAAGCTCCGGTATGATCAAACAAGAACCAAAGTGCTAGCCCTGCATCAAATTCAAGTAAGAAGATTACAAAAACTCACCAAAAAATTGAACAAAAATCTTGAGATGGATAAAATGAGATACTTGGAATAGTCAGTGTTTTGATCAATGGGAGGGATGTTGCCGCTGGAAATTCCACATTTAACAGGAAGCTGGGGTATGCGAGACGCGTTGTAAGATCCAATTTGAGCCAGAGCTTTCTTGAGGCACGTGCAGATAGCTGCACAATCTTTTTTGCTTTTTGCATCGTTGGCAATCTCTGTAATGCCGCCACAACACTCCTTAGTTGGTTCCCCGCCATCTGTGAGGAAGCTCAGACATGGGACCACGTCTTTGACTATCTGTGAGCATGGAGGAGCATCAGGAGTTTGAGCCAGAACTGATGTTGAGAGCACAAGGAACAATATTAGATATCTTATATGGCAAGCCAAGGCGATCACTGTTTTTGTTTGGGGCGAATGCCAATCAGGGATGAGGGAATTTAAAGGTGCAGATACCTGCAAGGTGTTCAGTTTGGTTTATGTGGTTGTTTGTTGGCATTCAAATTTTATGATATCCAATTTCATGCTGATGCTGGTTTCTTTCTATCATATTTGAAGATGCGTGCAAAATTTCTAGTTTTGCATGTGCAATTCTACATCACAAAGATTGGCAATTACAGTTAGTGTTTTAGACTTAAGAAATAATAAAAAGCTTAATGAAGAGATCACTTCTTTAAAAAGACTAAGATTTAGATGCTAGTGAAACATGGAAGAATGGGATCAATTGAATAGTATTGAGAACCTAGAGAAAATAATATTTGAATTAGAATTTATAGATGAATTAATAAAGTTATTGGAAGCTACAATTAGGATTAACAAAACAAAAAGAATTATCAGAAACTAATAGTAATGCAAGAGTTTATTTTAAATTATGTATATAATATTAGATTCTATGATCACCAGTGTAAATATTATAGGAATAAAATAATAAGAATTTCAGTAAAAATTAGTAATATAGTGGACCCTATAGAATATTATTTACCAAAACTTATATAAAAATTGGAAAATGTTGTAGCAGATTTAAAAAGATCGAAATATGTTAAGCAAATGTTATCTTTATTAGCATCATAAAGTGTATTAAATTTGTATAATATTAGTTGTGTAATTGTATTATTATAAAATAAGTCTACTTGTGTGTGAAATTTATCTTCGTATTTGTGTTTGTGTAATAGAATTTGTATTAGATAGAGTTGTGGTTTGTATTAGCTAGAGTTTGGTATAAGAGTCTTAGGGCTTAGGTGAAAATTTTAAGAAAGTTAAAGAACTTGTTAAGAAAAACTAAAAATATTAAAGTAACGTTAGTTAACATCAAAGTCAAAAACTAGTCAAGGGACTAAAATCTTTAAAGATAGTAAGTTAAAGGATTAAAATCTTTGATTTGTAACTTGAAGAGTTAAAAGTTTTAGAAACATGAAGGTTAAGGGTATTTTAAAGATATAAGCCGCCAAAGTAGGAAAGATGTCTATGACCGATGCCCTCTGAATAGGAAGATTTGAATACGACTTTAGTTTTTTCCATCTTCCCTTGTTTTTTAATTATATTGGAAGCTTCCTACCAATTCTCCAAGTTGACTGAAGAAATGCAAGTAAACGCTGCCTCCCAAGTCCCGCAGAGAGAAGATGATAATTAATTTTGATTAATAATATTATTAGTTATTACGATTTTTTAATATATTAATTTTAAAACTTAAATAATATATCTGTTTTATAAAATAATATTTATTTATTATTAGATATAATTCTTGAATTAGTAGCGTCTAATCAACACTGTTGCGTTGCCGAGAAAACGGATTAAGAGGAAACTAAAAGCTTTCTTTCCTCCAGCAAATTTGAAAAGCAGACCTCCATCAAAGCCGAGTTTGGTTCCTAACTTTTACTACCATTACTGGGTGTTACTGTATCAAAACAGGGATTATGCCCCCAGTTTTCACTACCCTCAAACTAGCAACATCAATTAACAGTGGTGTGTTGGTATGAAGGTTGTGAATGTTGTACCCGTACATGTATTAATATTGTTATTAAAATAATATATATTAAATATTAAAAGTTTTCATATACTATTTTAAATTTATCATTATAAATATATATAATTATATATATAATGCTACCTTATTTAAT